CATCCATCCATCATCCATCCATCATCCATCCATCATCCATCCATCCATCCATCATCCATCCATCCACCATCCATCCATCCATCCATCTATCCATCATCCATCCATCCATCCATCCATCCATCCATCCAGTATGGTTCAAGGAGGCATCAAATCAGCTTAAGACAGCTGGAGAGAGTCCACTTACTTCTTTTTCACAAAGCAGATGATGAGTCCCAGAGCAAACAGCAGCAGAGCCCCGCCTCCTGCTGCACCAATGATGACAGCCAAATCTGTGAGGAGAGACGGGAAGGCAAAAGAAGAGAGGAGAGAGTTAGCATAAGGAAGAACTGGATAGGTCCACAGCCCCCAGCTTCTTCCCTTCTGAATACAGAGTCTATAAAACTGAAGGTGATTGGGTCAGTTCTGAGCTTTGTCTTTAAAGGAACTGTCAGCTGGTACTTTTCCATGAGAGGAAGCCAGCCAGTATATTACAAGTTTGATTATGAAGAGGCCACTCATGTTAGTCATACGGAGTCTCCCTGGGTACAAAACTCAGTTAAGCTAAGAGGGAAAGCCGAGGCCTCAGGTTCACGTCTCCAGTTGAACTATTCTATTTGAGCTGTTTGGTACATGCATATGAACCACTGTGTTGTCTGAATTTCTGATCCATAGTTATGAGCAAACAAAACAGTTACTGTCTAAGTCAGTGGTTCTCAAGCTTCCTACTGCTGTGACCTTTAACACAGTTCCTCACATTGTTGTGACCCCCAACCATAAATTTTGTTGCTACTTCATAACTGTAATTTTGCTGTTATGATTCACAATGTAAATATCTGATATGCAGGATATCTGATAGGCCACTCTTGCGGGGGTTGCGACCCACAGGTTGAGAACCACTGGTCTAAGCCAATACAATCTGGAACCGTTTGTATGTAGCACTTAGATACATGAAACATATGGGGGTGGGGCACCTACCATCCACCCAATGGTTACTTCTGGCTTCCATTGGGTGTGTTCCCTGGTTACCAGGCTGTCTTAGAGAAGGAAGAGCAGAGGAGCAGAGGGGAGAGCAGAGACTCAAACATCAGAAGGAGGGAAGGACCAGGTCATTTCATCTGGATTATCTTTTCCCCTACTGTACAATGGAAAAAGAGCACAGATCTGAGAAGGAACATATACCAGACAGGGATTTAAGGTTCCTTGCTTGCTCATGAAGAGACAAAGGGTGAGATTCAGAAGACACAGAAATAACTGACTGAAAAGGACAGCAGGAGAGGAAGACGGTCAAAGTGGTAACCTCAGAGGTGAGAGTTCTTAGTAGTGGCTTCTCTCTCCCTCTCCTCCCCCCCCCCCTCCCTCTCCCTCTCCCCCTCCCTCTCCCTCTCTCTCTGTCTCTCTCTCTCCCTTCCCCCCTCCTTCCTCCTTCTCCCTCTAGGTCCTCATATTTTAATCCTCTTTACTGAATCCCTATGATGTGTCATCCTTCACTCTACAGATGAAGATCACAGGAATGAAGAGAATTCCTATATAGATCATGGAGTTCAACAGTGAAGAACTGTAGCAGAAGGATCCAGATGAGTCAAGAGAACGTGGCAGAAGATGTGTTCTGCTTGTTCCTTCTATGCTTCCTTCAGTGTCTTGTGCATTTCCCAACAAGGCCAGCAGTGGAGCGTCAAGCAAGCTCAAATGTCTCAGATCATTTTGGCTGGGACCTTTGTGAATGTCAGTATACAGTCAAGATCAGCAAAGTCTTGTAATCAACCTGTACAGCCTGCAGATGAATAAGTGGGACCAATAAGCCTAGCTCAGAACAGACTTGCCCAGACAATGCGTGAGCAATAATAAATGCTGTACAATAGCTGACTGATTTGTGGATAGCTATGACTCAATCTGTTTCCTGACTTGCCTCGAAAGCTTGTTCCCTGCCCCTCAAGTGCCAATTTTTCTTTCCTTCACCGTCTCCAGGAGACTTTGAAAGTTCTTACCCACAGTCTTCGGGGTAAGAGTCACCCAGAAGAGCAAATCTAGCTGCTTGCCATTCATAGGGCTGCAATTGGAGATGTTAACCCAGAAGCTGTGATGGTGGAAGCTTGGCTTAGGCGGGACTTCCTCCTCCAGGCTGAAGATCTCCTCTGCCCGGGTCTGCTGCTCCTGGATGATCATGAATGCACGCCCTGACTGGCAGGCCAAGCTAGAACGCTCTTTGAAGAAGGTCAGACACGCCACTTGGTTGCTAGGAACGCTGATATTCCAAGACACCGAGGAGAGAGCAGGCAGGCCACGGTCCCAGTTGGGTGATCTCAGGTAGACCTTGTTTTTTGTGTCTGGGGTCACCGTGAAGATGCCTTCTTCTGCAGGAAAGGGAAGAGATCCAAACAAATGTTGTCTCACTCAACAGAATGGAGAGAAAAGGGAGTGTCAGGGATACTGGACAGCCTACCCCAGCTCCATCCAACAGAGCTTTCTGCCATGATGGGCGTGTTATGGGTTATGACTGTTCAGTAGGTAGCTATTATTCACGTTCGCCTGGTGAGCACTCGCTATGTGCCCACTGTGTCAAGTCGTATAGTCAGCATCTAAGTTATCCCCTAAAGCTGTGTACTACAGACCCAGTCACCAGTCCACAGTACTACTGGGAGATGACAGGACCTGTAAGGGGAGAGGCCATGTAGAAGGAAGTTAGGTCACCAGAGACATACCGGGGACTATTGGGACCCTGTCCTTTACTCTCGTTTTGCTTTCTGGTGACCACGAGGTGAGCAGCCTCTCCCATTACACATTCCTACTGTGATGTATTGCTCCAACACAGACCCCAACAGTGACTGGATCTACCAAGGATGGCATTCAGTCTGAAACTGTGAGCCAAAGTAAACTTTTCCTGCATGTAAGTTCCTCACCTCAGCAATGGAAAGCCAATACAACAGAAGCTCATGTTTTTCATTCATTCAACGTTGATTTTGGCTTACGTGTGGTTACTGTATTGGTTAGTGAAGGAGTCCTCTCTCTTAGACTAGGTGCCCAGGTTCATTTCAAACAAACAAACATCAGAACAGTTTGTCAAATGAGGGTTCTCAGAAATATTCCCAACATGGCAATCCCCCTGCCCCACTCTACTGTGGGAGTGGGATATGTCTATGTCTGCCCCAGAGGACAAATAAAAGCTGCAGAAATCTAGAACTGAGATGTTGAAAGGGCCCGCAGGTCCAATGTAGCTCCAAACGAGATAAGAAGTAACATTCGGTCCTGAGGAGAATAACCTTGATTTTCAAAGGCTTCCCAAAGGGGATTCCCTGGTGATCATGGAGATGGGAATAAGGTCAACCTGAATTGACCTTAATCTATCACCAAAGTTCCATGTCTTTCCCACTGTGCCACAGAAAAGTCAGCCTCAAATAAAGGTCTCAGCCAATTTCAAAATGACCTCTAACGTGACACAACCATCCCTGACCTCTCATGTGACACCACCATCCCTGACCCCTAATGTAACACCACCATCCCTGACCTCTCATGCGACACCACTACCCTTAACCTCTAATGTAACACGACCATCCTTGAGCAACATGTATTGGTGATTTGACTTTTGCAATCAGGTGACCCCAGAGAGCCATTTAGACTTCATTTCTCCCTCAGAGCACTGTGGACCTTGACCTTGTCTCTGCTTATAGAACAGGACCCTTGTGCCTGCTATTTCTTCCCCAGGAACCACTCCCTCCCCTGCTGTGCTCTCCACGGTATACTGAACTGTCATAGCAGAATCATATAGACAACCCAGAGCTAGGGAATGGTTTGTCATTTCTCATTTTTCCCCTGTCAGCTTCCCCCAAAAGACTAGAACCCGAGTCGTTGTCTTGCTGTCTACCAGCCATACCTCTCACTGTCAGAAACATTTTTCAAATTTTTAAGTCTGGAAATTTCCACAGGAGGCTGATGAAAAAGTCAGGATTAGGACCCAATGTCCTGCACTTGTAATGAGGAACAAACTCAGGCGGCAATCCCATCTCTCTAAATTATGACTCTTTTCCTTATGATGGACTGTACCTGAAAACTGTGAGCCAAAATAAACCCTTCCTTAAGCTGCTCCTGCTTACGTATTTGCTCACACAACAGGAAAGCAACTAATACAGGCTTATACAAGAGGCGATGAATGCCTAACAAGAATGGCTTAGGGGACTTTGTGGTGGATGAGCAAGGGAACACTTACCTTTGAAATAAGGTATGAGGGACACTGTCAGGCTTTGCTTGGAGATGTCTTGTTGGAAGCTGGGAGCATATGTTCGCAGTGTCACCGAGCTATTTTGCTTCACTTGGATCTTCTCGATGGAGCCTCCTGGGCAGAAGGAACCAAAGTACAGGTCCTGGCCAGGGGGGATGCTGGCCACGTGGTAGCTGAAGCTGGCATTACAAGGCCTCTCTCGTGTATGCTGCTGCAGCTTCTGGCCTGGCACCAGCATGAGGCTGAGTCTGTCCTTGGGCACCAGTAGCTTCCAGGAGAAGTCATGGAGCTGCACAGGCAGCTGGAGGATATCCTTAGGCACCTGCAGGTTGAAAGGCCTGTAGCAGTAGCGGTACTCCAGACAGCCTGGAAGAGAAAGTTCGTAGTACTCATGTGCAAGTGGGTGGGGAGTGCATGCACCCTCCTTGGCATGCAGGTTGGCCTAAGGACAGAATCAGGGACTGCTTGCTTTCCTTTCCGTTCATGACTCTTCCCCAGCTTTCCTGTCTACTCTCTATCCTTTGCAGCCAAGCTCCTGTGGGTACTCAGGACAGAAAATCTCTTCTTGTTTGTGTCTTCCTTTGTCTGGGGTGCTAAGACACAAGTCTCTACCCCAACATGTCCCCACGTTTCTGTGTCATGCTAGAGCTGTGAGTGACATCATGGCCATCTCAACTTGCACCGTACACCACCACCTCTTAATTGGGTGGCTTCATGTTACTCTAGCTCCGGGACTCTCAGCTTCCTGTCAGAGATCATGGTGTCTCAGCAGGAGGTGACTGAGTTTTCTTTTCTTCTTTCCTTTGTGATAGGGTCTCTTTAGGTCACTCTGGCTGTCCTGAATCTCTCTATGTAGACCAGGCTGGCCTCGAACGCACATCTACCTACCTTTGCCTCCCTAGAGCTGAGATTAAAAGCATGCACTAGTACACCTGGCTCAGGTTTTTTTGTTTGTTTTGTTTTTAAAAGACAGGATCTCATATAGCTAGGCTGAAACTGTGTAGCCAGAGATGACCTTGAACTGCTCCTCCTGTGTTCACTTCTCAGGTACTAAGGTTTCAGGGGAGCATGAATGGTTTGTGCATGGCTGGGGAGAGCCCAGGGCATTGTGAATGCTAGGAAATCACTATACCAGCTGAACCTCGTGTCTGGTCTTCAGTACGAGTTTGGCTGCACTTGTTAAGACTTTCACAAGCCACAGAAAGAGCCAGGCTAAGTCCATTCTGTTTGTCAGGGTCTTATTTTTTCCCAGGCTATGCTTGAAGTTGTGTAGCTAAAGCCAGGACCTAATGAATGCTATGAAAGCAATCTACCAAGTAAATTACATCTCTGTCCCCCAGGAGTCTAAGTTCTCGACAGACAAGGAATCAGGAAGTAGGCAAGTGGAGACAGGGATGGTACAGCTGACCAAAGGAGGACAGGACTTCCCCGGGGGAGGCTGGCAGGTTGGGCAGAGACAAGCAGGGATACAGAGCCTACTGTGACCTTCTGAGGGATGAATGTTCAGCAGACACCTGTCCTGTCTAGGCATGCCAACACTTGCAGATTCTCTCTCTTGATCTTGTTCACCTTCCCTCAGTGGTCATTCAGACTACACCCTTTACAACCCACCTACTAAGTTCCACTAAGGGTAAGACGGCTCAATGGGTGAAGACGCATGCCACCAAACTGGACAACCTAAGTTTGATCCCTGGAACCTACATGGCAGAAAGAGGAAACTGATTCCCACAAGTTATCCTCTGACCCCTTGCACATGTGAGTGTGTGTGTGTGTGTGTGTGTGTGTGTGGCTGAGGCAAGGGATGAGGAGAACCTATGCAGTCTGGGCTTCTGGGTAATGATACATATAGTCAGGGTTTTTGGTAAGGGCATACTTAGGGTTTTCTCCACATTCACCCACAGGCGTGTCAAGTCATCGCACAGGAAGGAAATCTTGTATTTGGAGCCAGCTGTCAGGGTGACATTGGTACTACAAGTCCGAGACTCTAGACACACGAAGCACCCAGGAACAAACCTGCGGCCATGTTTGACTGGCCGTGGCTCTATGGTGAGCGACATGGTTCGCTCTTGACTCAGGTCCACCATGTAGGTTTTATCTGAAACCACAAAGAGACAAGGTGTGAGTCATAGACAGGCAGCTACCATGTGAAGTGAGCAAAGTGACAAGGCACCTGGTGTGGAGTGAGCATATTCAGACATTTGTGTGTACACACACATACATACACACCACACATACACATACCACACACACTTTCTCAGAACTTCCTATGCCATTCTCTTCCTCTGAGACGCTCTGGGTTCTGAGCTTGCTCTACCGTTGTTGAACTGTAAGACTCAAGACCGAATTAGCTAAGACTACGTAATGTTTGGTATGTTTAGCACAGGGTTTAAAGTGAGTGTGTCCAAGGTGGTGATGGTGGGGTGGTTGTAGCGGTTGTGATGATGGTGACGGGGTGGTGTTCAGCCAAGAATTATGACAGTCACTTCCCCACTGTTATCCACCGATATGAATGATGTTGACTGACACTCTGGTCCCCACTGCAGGGTCAAGGCAAGAGAGGTCTTGCAAGACAACTTTTCAATGTTCTCATTGAAAATAGACTAGCGGAGGCTACAGAGACGGCTGAGTAGTAAGGGCACTTGTTCTAAAAGAGGATCTGAGCTCAGTTCTTAGCACACACATCAGGTGGCTCAGAATGGCTATAATGGCACCTGCACATACACAGTTTACACACACACACACACACACACACACACACACACACACACACACACACCTTAAGAACAAAACCAAAAATCAAACCAGCTACGACCCTGAAGGCAGGACTGTTTGCTTCTTACTTTGTTAAAGTCAAAGCGTCTGCTCAAGTGTCTACCTGTGAGGCTATCTCCATGTGTAACACTCACTTCCTGAAACTCCTGCAGCGTCCAGAGTCCACATTTTCCTGGCTGCTCTATATGCAGAAGAGGAAGCCACCTCACCTAAGGCAACACAAGGTACAGGAGGGAGAGCATAGATCACTCACTGCTTTCATTCTGTGGACGTTGGACCAGGACCTGAAACTGGAGCCGAAGGATTCCTGGGTTTTGAGCATCCTGGTCACAGCCTTGCAGGGAGAGGTTGAAGTTCCCAGCCATGTTTCCTGGCTGCGTGTCCTCCAGCCTGAACACCTCCGGGTTGGTGGTGGATCCTGGGATATAATATTCAACGCGCTCCTCCTTCCTCTCACAGTTGGAGACGTTGAAGTTAAGGAAGGAGACGCTGGCCCTTAGGTGTGCAGGGACAACAAACTGCCAGGTCATCAGCTCATCTTCAGGGAAGCCTTCTGGGTAGTTGGCTGACATCAGGGTTGCTGAGCCTTCGCCCTCAAATACTGACTCAATGATGCACAGGCCTGTTGAGACAGATCCAAAACAGGAAGAAAGGAGATGCTGCTGCCTGGCCTGGTTGTCCGTGACTGAGGGAGAGGTACTGGGGCATGCAGGACTCAAGAGTAGGGCTGCACACAATATTTATACTGAGGGTGGTGATTAGGAACGAAGACCCATTAGCAGTGTGTGAGCGAATGTTTAATAACTGACTGGGTTGGGGGCAAGCCAGTTTCTTCAGTGTACTCTCGTCTCCTTGGGGTTAACATAGTCCCCAGGGCTTAGTTAAAGCTGCCAACAGATCTGAATGTGGAACTGAGCAGTGTCTGACACACGTACATGCACAGGCACACACACATCGTTGAAAGAGCATAAGGCTATAGCAGAATCAGAAAAAGTGATTAGCTTTAAGAACTACCTTTGCTTCTAAGGCGGTTTACTTGGCTTCTACAATGTTTCTACCAGAAACTTTACAAGTTTCTACAATGTTACTTTGGGAATGCTGAGCTGTTGATCTCTGTCCCTCCCCTTCAAGATCGATTCTCTGGAAGCAGCATGAGTGAGGAAAACCAACACAGCTGTTGACTCACTGACATGTGCAGAGAAGACAGATGGCAGGGTGACGAAGTCAGAGCAGTGCTCTGTGAAAGTGGGGCTCTACAACCAAGCCCATGTCTTCCCTGCCTCTCTCCCGAGAGGTTTCTCTGTGTAAGAGCCCTGGTTGTCTTGGAACTCTCTTTGTAGACCAGGCTAGCCTCAAACTCACAGAGATTCGACTGTCTCTGCCTCCTGAGTGCTAGGATCAAAGCTGCCACACCCTGCTCCCCCTATATCATTTTGTGAAAGAACATTATGTGCAAAAGGGACAAAGAAGCTGGACCTGGCAGTGCACATTTGGAACACCAACACTGGAGAGACGGAGGCAGGAAGATCAGGAGCTTAAGGTCAGCCTTGGTTACATAGTAAACTTGTAGCCAGTCTGGGCAACATGAGACTCTGTCTTAAAAAATAAATAACTATTGGTCAGTAGTGGCATAAACTTTAATCCTAGCACTCTGGAGGCAGATGAAGGTGAATTTCAAGGCCAGCTTGGTCTACAGAGTGTGTTTCAGGACAGCCAAGGGTACACAGAGAAACCCTGTCTCAAACAAACAAGCAAGCAAGCAAGCAAGCAACAAACAAATAACTTCCTGACACTGCGTGCTGACTGCCCTGGAACATTCTGCATCCATCCATCTGATCACATAGTGGGGTTAGGAGGTGCGTGCTCACGTTTGATAGAGGATCGATTTGCAATGCTGAAGCCTGAGATGTTTCTGGGGTGGAACCAAGGCAGGTGTAAAGCCATCTTCACACCCTCTTGCATCTTGATCCGGGACACGGTGCCATTACTGCAGAAGGTCCCAATCCTGACCTCAGTGGCATCTATATGGCCACTGATGGAGTGGGTCACCCCATCCGCACAGCTCTCGCCTGGCCCAATCTGCCTCAGTCGAGGGGTTGCGAACTGCAGCTCCAGGCCAATGCTCTTATGAGCTCTGACGTCCCAGATGAAGGTTCTGTTGAGGATGGGCAGTTCTGATGTGGACGGCTGAAGACGAACCTCCCCGAAAGGACATGGGCCTGACATGCAGTCTGTAACATAGACACAAAAACAATTTTTTGATCATGGACACTGCAAGGCTCATGCTGTTCTTTCTCCTCAGCACCTAAAGTAGGCTCTTTGGGATTGTGCCCAGGTGCTGTTACCACCCCTAATGCTCAGTGGTGGCCTTTAGTGCCTTGGCTGGGGACTTGTTTTGAATCAGAGAGGCCTAAGGCTTGGCTTTGTTCTCACTCTGGGCTGCAGAAGGCCTGGCTCCACTGCCTCAGGTGATACAACCTGGGGCTGACAGTGTATCACTTCAGTCCTGGAACATTCTGTTTCACCCAGGAGAGGCTGGACTTAAGCAAAAAATGATTACTCCATGTTCAGTTTCCTCTGCTCCCTCTTTCTGTTCCCTCTGGCTGGGCTGCTGCTTCTGGGGGGCATTCCCTTGTGGCGGTTAACCTCGACTGTCAACCTGACAGTCTGGTATCACCATGGAAACAAATCTCTGGGCCTGTCTAGGAGAGATTTTCTAGATTAGATTAGTTAAGGGGGGAAGACCAGCCTTGAACGTGGGATGGGGTCTTGAATAAAAAACAGAAAGTGAGTTGAGTACCAGCGCTCATCTTTCTCTGCTTCTTGACTAGAGATACAATGCAAATAGTTGCCTCCTCTCCTGGTGTCTCTCCTCTATGGTGGACAGGATCCCTTGGAACTCTGATCCAAGTAAAACCCTTCCTTCTTTAAGTTGCTTTTGTAGGCCATTTTGTCACAGCAATGAGATAAGTAATAATACACACACACACACATCCACCTTTGTACTGAAGATACCGAACACTGTTTCCCAGACTCTGTGCTTGGTATCTGGTTAATTGTCACCAGCTGGCCTTCTAAAGGAGCTACAGGGAGCCTGCACATTGGGGTAACTTCCTTCCTGTATTTGGGAATTAATTTCATGGTTTTGAGGGCACGATGCCAGGCTCCACCTTTTAAGCTTCCTTTTCCTTCTTCATCTCATTAACGTACTGGGCATAATCACTGCTCTCTTGACTCCATTAGCAGAGCAGGGGAATCATCTTAAAGCTAGTAACTAATTACATCCTTTGCTACATTGTGCTTCCTAAGCCTTTAAAACCACAGGACTGTTACCATCAAGGAGGATTCAGAGAAGACTGAAATAAAAGAAAGCAGGCAAAGGCACTTGAGGGTTTTTGTGTTGTACATAGAGGATGTGGAGGTACAGGGGCCTTGGGCCATGTAATAAGAACCCGTGGGTCTTATGTGTGCTCCACTTGGGTGGTGGCAAGTACTATTGATGGGGTTCAGGAAAATGTTTGTTTTGTGAGCATGAGGACCCTAATTCAAATCACCAGTACCCCATAAAAAGGTGGGCAGGGCATCTGGGCAGTGGTGGCACCCACCTTTAATCCCAGCACTTGGGAGGCAGAGGCAAGTAAATCTCTAAGTTCTTTCTATAGAGTGAGTTCCAGGACAGCCAGGGCTACACAGAGAAACCCTGTCTCAAAAAAACAAAAAGGTAAGAACAAACAAACAAACAAACAAACAAAACCAAGTTCCGGCAGTGCATTTCTGTAAGTGCAGCATTGAGGCACAGAGAGACAAATGGACTCAAGTTTTTAAAAGCCAGTGAGAGATCTTGTCTCAAGGCAATAAGAGCAGTAAAGGAAGGCAGCCAGTGTTTGGGTCTGGCTTCCACATGTGCATGCATGGATCTGTGTATGTATACATTCAGGTGCATATATATACCTCTTACACACTCAGAACCTGGGTGGGGCAATGCAGACCTGTAGTCACAGAGCTGACTTGAGGGCCAGCCAACCTAGCTAATTAGTGAGTTCCAGGTTCAGAGAGATATCCCGTCTCAAAAACTACTGTGGAGAACAGTCGAGGAAGACAGACACTGGACATGGATCTCTGGCTTTCACCTTCATGTGTATGGATGTGCACACAAATCACGCACACACATACACACACACACACACACACACACACTCAACTCCAAATAGAATTAGGAGACATCAAGAGCAGCCTAAGCCCTCTGAGATAATCTGCATCAAACCTCTCATTATTGCAAAGCAACCCTAGAAGCACCTGGTCACTTGCAGATACAGCTGACTCAGCACTGAAGCCGGACTGGGCTGTCTGTGGTCAGCTTGCATTCATGTCAGGGCCCCGCACAGCCAATCCAATAAAATAGGGTCAGATAAAGTGGTGATTAATGTGCCCAAAGTTAGACTTGTGTGTCAGTGAAGACCGTAGCTATTTTAGGACCTCATACGTACGTCATTGTGTGAATGAGGCAGCTCTTAGCTTTCCACTCGTGTGTGTGTGTGTGTGTGTGTGTGTGTGTGTGTGTGTGTGT